GGGGGCGGGGTAGGGGCAGGGGGCCCAACCAAGTGATACATCTGTGCCCCCCTTCTGTGTTTTTCGAGGGGGGGGGGGGGTTGAAGGGGGGGGGGGCAGTCCATCTCATCGCCAAGAAAAATGTTCGACTTGTGAGAGGCTTAAAATGACCCCAGGTCAATCATACAGTAACGTGTAACCAACGCTGAAAATCATTTGACTCTTTCTCAATCCATTGAGAACTTGCAGCACTTTGAAATCAATTTTGATTGAAAAAATTAACGCAAAATAGTGATTTTTTGGTAATCTTGAGATGTCCCCTCGTTGCCATGGTAACAGAAATTTTAAGTCTGAGCATGTTGTTGCAAAGGCAATGGTCCAGTCAAGATGTGCCAAGTTTGTTTAGTATTGAAAAAGTTTTTATAGTTTTATAGCAAAATGAACTTGTAACATGAAAACAGCCATTTTTTTACAAAATGCTCATGAAATAATGGGTTAATATACCAGATAATCTTTGCATTCCATATCCTGCTTCTACAATACAATCATTAAAACTTATTATCATTATTTAAGCACGAAAACTTGCATTATTAAGTTTGCGTGTAAACAGAACGTTTTATTTGTACTTGTATAATCTTTGTTCTTTTTTATTCCGGAGTTTTACTTCAGGACATATATTGAAGGTATTCATTTGTGTTTTAATGTTTTTTTCCAGGATTGTATGCCACGTTCGAGGCTTTTTTGATGTTCACAGGAGTGATGCTTCTAGTCGCTAACACTTCAGTCTCTTTCGGTGAGTTAAAACGGTTTGTCCCTCTTTTATTGGAGCATAAAGTGACCAGAAACCAAGTGTGATCTCATTATCGATTTCAACATTCTAGAAATGCATCTCAGATGCGCAATCCAGGGCCATCATGGCCCTTTTGTTGTATCACGTGATTTGTTGTGATATTTTCTATTCTTAATTTTTTTAAAGCTATAACATGTTCTTTTACTTTATATACAAACAACATTAATATCTAGGAAGATGAAAATGACTGATATTTAATACTGAATGGTATTTTACAACAATCACAGACTTTTACCTTAAATACGTATTTTTTTGAAAAACTCAAAAACTTCGATCTTTTGTGACTTGGACAATTTGTTTTAATTTCAGGTTACATTGTATCGGCAGCCGCGAACTCAGTTACCACCGCCTTGGCCATCGCCCCGCCTATGATGATACCACTGCTTATGTTTGGCGGCTTCTTTCTCAACTCCGAGTAAGTTTGGTCTTCTTCAGTTTTAAAGGCCCATTATGCCCGCAAAAAACGTTTTTTTATATTAATTTTTTAAAGATTTTTTATATTTTGTGTTCTTCTGTTGCTTCCAAAACATTAATCATTGGTCAATTATGTTAATTATGATTTGTTTCTATTGTTTTCTGGGAAGTGTTACAGTTATAGTGATTTAGTATTTTGTATGGAAGTCATAATACTACTTTGTTTACATTGTGCTACTTTCATGACTAATATTTTCACATTTAGCACTACTTTCTTCGGATATGGCGAATTTTCAGACTTTATTTCGTTTGACAGAGTACTGTTGAATTTTTGTGAATAAAAATCAAGTGTTTCTATTTCATTGTTGTTTCTTTTTTTCCAGCTCTATACCTGTGTACTTTATTTGGTTGGAATATCTGTCCTGGTTCAAGTATGCGAACGAGCTTCTTTCTGTAAACCAGTGGGATAACATAGATTCTATAGGTAAGAAACTTCATCAAAACGGTTTTTATCATTTTCATGCATAAATTAATAAATAGTTTTGTTTTACAATTAAGAAATTATAGCGTAACGTGTGTAACTCCTAGGTTTATAATATGAAAGATATTTTTGGACATAATTTCCCTATTAAGAAGCAAGTATATAATGAGCACAATTTTAAAGAAGCCATCTTAAGTAAAAATCTTCAAAAAATCATCGTAAGAAAATGATGCTGTGTGCATTGTCAGAAGTAACATCCAATTTTAGTCCGATCTATTGCTAATGCCATGGCGTCCATGGCCATTTTTTAACATAAGCAATTCTATTTTTTTAATTCTTAAATGACTGCCTTCATTCTTTTAACACAACACTCCTCTGGACAAGACCTTTGACATTGACTCATTAATGACATAGACCTTGAAGGTCAAATTATTTAAATTTCTCATTTTTTTACTTAGGATCTAATTTTGCTATTTTGTAAAAAAAACAAACGGGTCGACTTCTTCATACATAAAAATGAAAAAGCCGCGTTACTTTTTACAATTTAGAATAAAAAGAAAAAATACACAAAACAATACCGACAGCGGCAGTGACGTTTTGTTTTTCTTGATGTCATTTCCTGGTATGATCTTTATTTTTTCTACGTATTTTCTTTTTTTCAGACTGTGAGAATAGTACTTCATCAGGATCACAAAACCCGTGTCTGTATAAATCCGGCGAACAAGTGATTAACTACCTCAATTTTGATAAGGTAAGACTATTTAACATTTGATAACGTATGGACAATTAATATTTGATACTGTGGACATTTAACATTTTATTGCATAATGAGTGGATGAAGGAGGGGGGCAAAGTTAACATTGTTATAATTGTTATATTTCAAGCATAACACTGTTGCATTTTTTTTTTAATTTCTTTCTCATCGCCTAAGTATAGTTATCATTACTTTAAACCAAATTAGAATAATTAATTCTAAAACATAATATTTGTTATTTTTATTGTACACTTTATACATTGTACCACATTTGATAAATTAATTTTATATATCATTTTTACGTTTTATTTCAGGACAATCTTTGGTTGGATGTTGGCTGTCTGTTTGCCATGCTGGTGGCTTACAGATTGGTGGCATATATAATACTTCTGATTAAGGCTAGGAAGTCAAAACAATAGACAACCATACCAAAAAGAGACGCTTAGATTCAAAGGGACGTAATTAGTGTTTGTTTAGCCATTTGTTTTGTGTGGCAGTTGTCGCCCTTGTAATACATTATAAATGATAAATATCACGTACAGATCTTGTTACATGTATAAATTTGTTTTAAATTTGATGTATAATCTAGAAAAAGGACTTGGTAGTTTTTTTACCATATATTTTAAACGAGACATTTTATAAAATCCAATAAATGCGAGGAGGAATATAGTTCAAACCAAACTTACTCATATGCTTGTGAATAAAACGTTATTATTAATTATTGAGTATTGACCTGAAGAGTCAGAATTCTAATGAAATAAAACATAAGAATATTAACAATGAACTTTGAATTTTAATACTAAATACAAAAGATTATTATAATTGTGTTTCACTAGAGTGAGGTCACTATGGAAATGAAATGAATTTAATCGTTTTTTTGTCATTGAAAATAATGATTTAGGACCCAGTAAAACAATTCACAGGGTAAAGTGAAACATTGTTTTTGTTATCAATATTCAAGCTGGCTTTCTGAAAGTCATTATTTTACCCCAAGTGCCTGCTTTTACCTAACATATGTCTTTTAGTGACTTTTAAAGCAGCATGCCTCCAGATTTGTGCTCATTCTCATAAAAACATTTGAAATGTATATAAAACTAAATAATTGTCAAATAAACAAAGAAATGTCATTTACACATTGCAAACAGCACTTGAAAACTACGAAAATTGACAAAAAATAAATCAGAATATGCAAAATTAGCCCTTAATACGTTAGTCACGCAGTAGAAATATGGTGAAAAAATACCTAAAAATCAGTCATAGATTACATATAACATGAATTCATTTCTTGAATTGTGAATATTTTTACTTTTCTTATTATCTTAGTACATTGTTCTCAAGATTAAATTTCTTGAAATAGTTTGGCTCATCTGGAAGCATGCAGCTTTAAACTATCAAAACTGGAATTTAACCATAATTATGATCACGGCTCGCTATAGTGGAAATATTATAGTCACAGGGGTTTTGTTGTTATTGAGTTATTCAGGTTTAACAAGAATATTCTGCTATTATTTTCCTTTGAGTTTATGAGAATAAAATGTGAAAGACAATCATAAATATGTATCCCTAAATTTGTTAAAAAAAGGTATAAAATATATTGTGTATGGTAAATCTTACTTCACGTAAAAGAAGAAACAGTTACATCTTTCCTCTCACTATTCTAAATACTCTAATGTTTGTTTAAAAACAACACATACAGTCTTGTTTTTTACATTATGTTGATAAAAAATCGAAAGTGTTTCATATAGTTAATATATGTAAAGTTAATTAAGCTAGCATAAGACACTTACAATCTACAAAAATTGCATTAAAAGTTTCAAAATATGCAATAATAGTCTAACTTTTAAAAAGCCTTGTAAAAGTTAATAAATCACTTAATTCAGTCAAATTGTGTATGCAACATGAAAAAACGAAAAAACAAAAAATGATATATGGATCGTGACCATACTTTTCTTAAAGTCTAAATATTTTTTTGTTTTTGTGTGTAAAATTGGATTTTTTTATATTTTCTTCGCCTGTGTGATAGTGCAGCGCTTTGAAGATATTCGCCAACAAATTTAAAGTGACTCCACTGAAGGTTTTTGACATGACTTGACTGGAAATATTTCTTTTGAGATTATTTCTTCATTTGATGTAGATAAATACTAATAATTTTTGTGCAAAATATCAGATGATTAGCTCGCTCCGTTTTTTCCAGAATAATTCTTATAATTTAGTGAAAAAAGACCCAAACGCTTTTCACTCAAATCGAACTGGGAATAGTACAAACATATGATTTTCAATATATTTCTTGTATAATTTTTGCTTATATTTTATTTATATTTCTGTTTTAAGTGCTAATGTTTATCTATGTGAAAATAAACTTTTATTTTTAAGGCTTTTAAACATCAGTAAAGTTCCTTTAAGAGTTTTAGCCTATGTTATAAATTAATGTAATGTTGTTAAATGAATACTTAATATTGTTGTTATTGTTGTGATTAAAATGTTTCTGTTTACCAGTAAATGATTTTGTGTAATTTAAGCGTTTTAACATGTGGTGTGATTGGCAGAATATGACAAAGTTTTGGCGTCTATTAGCCCTTACAATGGGACCAATACGTAAACAAATGGTTTCAACAAATTGGTCTCAAAACAAGGAAATTAGTTTTTTGTTGTATTATGATGTTTTATGTAATATTTTGTTATATTGTTAAAACTACTATCATTGCAATGAAAGAATGAAAATGAAATTCTATCCTATTTAGAGCTCGAACTATCTAATAGGTCAGAGGTATTCTAGAGTTTGTAACATTGTTTACACCATCAGTACATGTATGTACATATTTTGCAAGCTGTATTTAATTAAAGAAAACAAATGTGTATTTTTATAAATGTAACGTTACAACCACTGATTTATATACTTATTTTACACCAATTTATCTATCTAATTAAGGTTTTGGCCTTAACTTGACTTGCCATTATTCCATATATTTTATTATAAAATATTTATCACTAATCAAAATACAGTTGTATAGTTTATTTATTTATATAAACACATATTAAAAGCACTACACTATAAAGAAGGAAAACTTTTTTTTGCCTATCTTTGTATTTATTAATATAGATCTGTACGGTTCGCAATAACACTTTCATTATAGACATATTATGCCTCAGAAATCCATATTTTTATAACTCTAAGCAAATATCAAACATGTGTTTAATAATGTTTTAATAGTGGATTAAGAGCATGTGAGATCTTTTACACGTGAAGTAAGTAGCGTTGGTTGTGCTGAAATGTCATAAAAGTTGCCAAATGTGAGCAAAGTAGTTTTTTGACTTCCATACAAAATACTAATTCACTACTTATATCCATTGCGAACAGATCTATAAGAGCAAAAGAAATTCTAGTATATGGCAAATTAGTATTATTTTTTAACTGTATCTAGATACAAACAAATGAAAACAATTTTTTTGAGAAATAATAATGCTTGTATTTCTCAGGTATAATGGGCCTTTAAAGGAAGAATTGTTATGTCCAGATGTCCATATTGGATATTTAGCCTCGGTTTTGTTATTGCTAATAAGTTGTTTATGTTATATTTTTTTATTTTTGTTCTGTTTTTGTTTTATTTGTGTGAGATCTACCGTTAAACGGTCTTTACCTTTTTTAACATTTGAAGCGTTCAAGGAACAGAGATCAAATTCTGAGATAAATAAAAACAACACCGAAGTGTATTTAATGCAGTATTAGAGATATATTGTTAAATAGTATAACTTCAAAGTATGTTGTTCCAGCAGTTGTTATTTTTTGTAAATAAAATCTATTTTGAGATTTATGTCTTATTTGTTTTTTACATTTTCAGCAGTTTTTTTAACTCGTTTGGCAACACATTTATTTTGTATTATTACATTTGGCCCAGAAATAACGTCCATTTTCACTAAAAGTGAAAATAGTTTTGTTTCGATAACATATGATTCCAGCGTCCGAGTAAACTGCACCCAGCACATTTGCAGCCTGCAAATGACGAAGAAATGAAAATAAATTATTATCATATACCAAATTTATTTTGACTTAATTTTGTTTAACTGTTCTTTAGTGAGGTCAATCCATAAATGTTGCATACAGAACGCGATTAATATCTCTCGAATGATAGTTTAATGTATGTAATTTCATATGGTCGTAAAGTAAATGGTCAAAGATCATTTTGCGAGCTAAGCTAAAAGAAACTTAACAAAAAACGATACTCATTTTTTTTACATTCCTTGTTAATACATAATAACCCATAATTGAACCTTTTTCATCTTTATGTCCTTTTATGCAAATCTCAACGGTATTGCTTTAATTTAGCTAAGCACTAATCCTAAAATTATACGGACAAGTTTAATTAAAAATAGATATAATTGACGTTCATCTCCTGAAATACAAAAGATTCCGTGATAGTAAAGCGCATTTTTTACGATTTTGATAAGAAATGAAATCATAGATTATACTGTAACATGAAATCTGCCATGTTTTGTAACACGGTTAATGATAGATCATTATAGGCTATGTTTGACATAGTTCAGGTCGCATTGTCAGTCGCCCGGATGACTGATCATCTTAAAAGTACTTTTTTCAATTGAAGATTCCTATATTATTTTAAACAAGAATTTGTAACAGAGTTACCAACGTTCCCCGCCCCGGGAGTTTTATATGAAGCATAAAATTGTGCTATTTCAAAAGATTGAGGTATGGATCTCAGGACATTCAGTCCTTAATTATGATCAATGCTAGATCTGCAAATGTAACAATAAATTTGTTAAAAAAATAAAATGAAACATGGAATTTAAAAATCTATCATGTTAAACTTTGACCTCTACGTGTGACCTTGACCTTGGAGGTAGAGGAGCAGGTGTTGTGCATGACATAACGTCTTATTATTGAGACTATTTTTTTTTTTTTTTTTTTTTTTTTTTTTTTTTTTTTTTTTTTTTTTTTTTTTTTTTTTTTTTTTTTTTGTGCCAAGTATTTTTTCAAAATCCCTTAATCTATGAAGAAGTAATGGATGGGACAAAAATATACCAAATAACAGACTCTGTTAACCTTTGACTCTAAGTGTGACATTGACCTTAAAAGAGTTAGGGGTGCAGGTGTTGTACCTGACATATCGGGTTATTATTGTGACTTTTTGTGCAAAGTTATTTCAAAAATCCTTGAACTATGAAGAAGTTCTAGATTGGACACAAAAATATACCCTATAACAGACTATGGTCAATTTTTGAAACCTCTAAGTGTGACCTTGACCGTTGGAGGTAGGGGATTGTGGTAGGGTAGGGTAGGTGTTGCGCATGACACATCCTCTTATTAAAGTAACTTATTTGTGCAAAGTATTTTTCAAAATCCTTTGATCTATGAAAAAGTTTTAGGACCGGGACAAAAAATATACCCTGTAAACAGACTTATGTAAGTATTTGACCTCCCAGTGTGAGGACCTTGACCTTGGAGGTAGGTGACCGGTTTTTTGCGCATGACACATTATCTGATTATTATTGTGAAACAATTATGGCAAGTATTTTACAAAATCCATTCATAGATAAGAAAGTTATGGACCGGAACACGACATATACCCTCAAATAGACAATGTTGACCTTGAATGAGCAAGTACAACCTTGACCCTGGAGGTAGGGGTCTGGTTGTTGCGCATGACACATCGCCTTATTATAATAAACATTTGTGCCAAGTTATTTCAAATTCCTTTCATAAATGAGTTATGGACCGGACACGAAAGTGTGACGGACAGACGGACAGACGGTCGGACGGATGGAGCCTATTTCTATATCCCCCTTTTTTCTTCGAAAAGGCGGGGGACAATAAGCATTCAATCGATTAAGCAGCAGCAACAGCAACAACAGCAACAGCAACAAAATTAATTAAGCACAGAAGGCGCTGAATTTGTTTGGGTCTCAGAATGTCAGAAAGGTAAAGGTTGTGAGATTATAAACCAATTTGTTTGTAAAGTGTCAACAAATTCTGTTCCAAGTGTTGTAAATATAGTAAATACGCTATAAGACTTATTGCAACACTGATATTCAATTCAATGTTTATTTGGCTTAATCAATTATAAAACAAACAACAACAAAAAACATGAGTTGCCTGAACTGGGGTTTGAACAATGGACCTCTCACTACTTAAGCGAGCATGTAAACCACTCGACCACAGGGAGTAAAAAGATAATAGTCTAAAGAATACCATATTATTCTTAATTAGAGTTTGTAACCCTTATAAATTTGTTCACGGTATACCTGTTGTTTAACACTGAGGTAAATGGAGCTGAATGTAAGCATATATAACTATAAGAATAACACAATATAAGAAATCTTCGACCAATCGGGAACTATTTGTTCGTTACGAAAATTAATGCGCCTGTCTTTTGACAATTTTTACGCAGTGATCTCCCCTCTGCTTCAAAAAGTTTGGACTACTTTCGGTATTTGCAAACTAGAACACCAGGTTCTGAAATTTCGCTACCATTATTTGTTTGGTCTGACGACCCAAACAAATAAAAACAATGAAGTAAAATGTATCAGACGTAACGATCTTGATTCAATCAAGCGTGAAGCAATTACCGTTTTTTATAAATGTACCATGAAGTTATTATATAGCCTGTTAATTTTATAACCTGTTGTTTATAAATTACGTTTTATCGTAAGAATATGTTGATTTACTAAATATTTCTTTTTCTGATTAGAGTGAACTATCAGGATAACTACAGATATGACAGGGTAATGGGTTCAGGTCAGTTAGTTCAGGAGAAATCAGATAAATGAACGCGAATCTTTTTTTGAAATTTAGGCATGGTTATTACAGATGAATAGGCACATCTTCCTTAATTAATAGAACAAATGACAGATAATGAACACTGGTGTTCGCGTATTTAATATCGGTCATATTTTCACTAAACATCACTTATTCCGTCCACATGATTTATGAACTGAAAAAAAAAAATGACAAATAAAACATAACTAACTTTTTGATTGACTTACCTTTTATAAGTACAAAAACGGAAAGTACATTTGAATTGTTATACTTTGACACGTGAAACAGTGATTACACATGGCAGACTTTCTTTAGTTAAAATTTCAACTTTATATACACATGTGCATTTTTCAAACCGTAAACATTTTTTTCCAACGATATTATAGAGCACTAACATAAACGAAGATCCAACAATTTGGTACATGTATTCACGTGAAGGTACATTCGGTTTGAAATAAAGGTTATATTAAATTGTAGTGCTATTAGCCTGATTTCACGAAGTACTTTGAAAATGCTATTTCTTTTTATATCTATTTCGAAACATAATTTTGAAGAATCAAGGATGTAACCACCTTGGACAATAGTGGCGTTTAAATAAACTATGATACTGCACGTTTGTAACGTCGCTTTTCATTGGATAATCGTGATGTTTATAAAATCTGCATACCCGGATGCAGTCGAGTTATGAATTAATATTTTGATTCCTTTATAAATAAAGTTTGCAGTATTATAAATTCTAAATTATATTCTAATTATAAAATTATTGACAACTCACATGGCCGTTTATAAACGGTTGTTTGGTCTAAACATATTTATTTAAGCTCGATTGCGAAACAAGTTCTTGCAACTTATATTAATCACTTTCGAGTCCGCTTCCTGGAACCAACCAGTACTGGTGTCATATGGAGAAACATGGTCGTGACCCGAGTAGGGCTCGAACCCATGATCTCTGGGTTGAGAGGCAGACACCTTAACCACTAGGCCACCGCTCCCCTTAAAACGGTTGTTTGCACAAATAAACCTTGCATGGCTACTCGTTTTATAACCTAGTATAATTACATGTATGTCATCAATTGTTTATATATACGGCCATTTAACCTGTTAAATATTTTAAACTAGTAAATGATATCCTGAAAATGTGTTATTGAAGAGATGAATATTTACTTCTTAAGTAAGGTCAAACTTGAGTTCTAGTTTGTTTAAATAATGGTCTTAGACCGTTTTAGTGCCTTTTACGTCACGAAAATAGCGCTAAATGTAAAATCATATGTCGTTAAAGAAGCAAAATGTAGACAAAAGAGTATTTTGACTCCCATACACTACACTAAATCAATTTAAGTGTACAGATTGTCAAAAAGCAACAGAAAAAGATGACAGTTCAGGTCATTGGCCAATGAGTAACTTATTTAATTTTGTTTAAAAAATAAAAGATTGAGACTTTCATTTTTTATTTTAACAACAAAACGTGTGTCACATCACATGGGAAATAACAATGATATTGATAGGCTCAGATATGTATGATTTTTATTAAAAATACATGTATAAAATATTTCATGCCTATTTATTATAAACATAGAAGGCCTCTATGGTTTTTTATTCGGGAAAGGAATATACATACATTATTAAATAATATAGTTAAAAGCTAAGAAAAAAACTTCACATACGGAAGTACAGTAAAAAAAAACCAACTTTACAAGTTTTCGAGTTAAAAACAATAGAGAAATTTAACTCCAATGTTTCTTTGTAAAGGGTTTAAAGTCTTACTGACACAATTTTAATCTGAAATTTTCAAATACTTAAATAGGTTATTCATATTGAAAAAACATTCTGCTGGTCAAGAATACAGATTATATTCAATTATGGTGAACAGTAAAACAATTTTCGTTATAACAATAATTTTTTCAAAAAATATAATCTTGTATTTTCCCCTTCTTCCGTTTGTCCATCAATTCTAGGAAATTAGAGTTAAAAAGGACGTCAATTTGGTGTGGTTTAGGATATAATTTGTTCTTATGAACGACGCCATTTCCTTTCGCCGTT